GGCACGTGATGGGCCCCATGCGCACCGCAGCGCGAGCACCAAACAAGTCCTTCCGTGGGCCCCCCCCCGCCCACCACAACCGATGGGAGGGGGTGGGCACGAGACAAAATGTCTGGGACCCCTGGACAAGGCCGAGAGAGCACCTTGCAGCGATTCAAGGCCGATCGACCGCAGGACACGCACCCCCAGCGACCGCGAACATGATTGACTTGTTGACCCCGAGGGTCCGAACCCAGATCGACAGGGTCAACGCGGACCCTGACCGCCTTAGGACGGACTACATCAGGAACATCCGAAAGCGCCCAATGGTGCAGGCTACGACCAGTGTAGTACGCTACGTGACGGCTAGCCCACCAGGCCAAAGCGCGCCTGTGGGCCCAATCTTCGTCCCTGGGATGCGCTGTGGCCCCTCGCTTAGCGAACTCATCCGCCAGAACATTGCCTCGAAAAAAAGGGCCAGGGCACGCCCCATCTCTGGGCATCTGGCCAGCTTTTGCGGGACGGAACCCAGCGAACCGAAACGCCGTCGGCCCTCAAGTCCCCCAACTTAAACCAAATACGATCCGAGACTTCAGGATAGGGTCGGTTCGGGCGCAAGCATCGAGCCTTGCCAGCTGCTACCCCGTCGACGATCGCATGGCAGTCGGTCACGATCGTGATCGGCACAGCCGCGAAAGACAGGCACTGAAAGAAAGCCCAGAGCTCAGCGAGGCCAATCTCGTGCAAGGCAGTGGGGAGAAGCCCAAAGAAAGCACCCTGCGAGATCCCGTGCTGTTCGACCGAAACAACCGCCCAGCCTCCCCTCGAACAAAGCGGAAGATCGGGGTCGAGGATGCTCGCGTCACTAGCAACAGTGCCAATGAGCACTCCTCCCGCCAGCGGCCCGTCCGAGAAAGTCAGGCCCGACTGGTCGGGGGGTGGCAGCAAGCAAAGCTTGGAATCAACTAAGCATCGGAACAGCAGAGCATCATCTTCGGCGCAGGCGGACCCCGCCCGGGACACTGCATCGAGACCGAGGCTGTCCCGAACCCTCTGGGAAACATCACAACGAAAAAGCATATGCGGGGTGTCGCCCGCCTCCTGGCCACAGACCTCACATGTCGCGGGAACGGCCGCACGCGCGTGAAACAGGCGATGCTGCGTCCACAATCCTCCAGCGGCGTGCGCGGCCAGGCAGGCGGCTCCTTCTTTAACACCCTCTCGAAACAGCTGGGCCTGGGTATGCCTCACTAGCTCGAGCATGAGAGGTCCGAACAGGGATTCGAGCCCCGTCGACCCCGCCAGCCCCTCCATGAGCACACGCTCAGTGTCCAAGTCCACGAGCTTACCTAGTGTGGCAGGCCAAACTTTCTGCAGCTGAATCACCGTACCCCCCGCCGTCTCCCACCGATCCCACCCAGTGGCTTTCCAGCCCAGGCGCGACAGAGTGGCCAAGACGGCCGAACATGGTCCTATAACTTTGTTGGAGAAAGCCTCGTGAACCTTGTCAAAGGTCCCAGCCATAAAAGCAGCCGAAGACCAATGCTCGACGACCGCACGGCCCCAGAACTGCAGCAGCAACTTGTTGGCCGCATAGACGGGATCCGTGTTGGGGGCCGCCGACAGAGCAAACTGCAACGTGCGAGACCGACCCGCCGCTGGGCCAAAGATGGCCGAGGCCGAAATGGCCCCAAAACTCTCGAGTGCTCTGGTGGAGACGCCCGTGACTCTGGTCCCGTAAAACGCGGCGGCGGTTCCTCCAGACTTGAATATTCTACTAAGGCCTCTGCGAGCGGACAGAAGCAGACGAAACCGACGGACCCTACGCTTGATAGAGCACAGCCTACGCGCTTGAGTGGCCCGAAGAGGCCTGCTCAGCGAGAAATCAACACCGAGGTTCTTAACACCTTCAGCCCTTTAGAAATTCCAAGCGCGCAACCTGGAAACCGGAGCTTTGGAGACTTTCCTTGAAGACGACGTGAGCTGGCACTTCTTGCGAGAAACCTTGAGCCCCTCGAGCTCCAGTCGTGTGCACAGCTCGAGCGTACCCATAGACAACATGCGGACTACGCGGTCCTCTCGGCCTGTGCAGGACAGCGTGCAATCGTCGACCACCAGGTACGCGGTGAGCGCGATCTCACGAATGACCTCATCCAAGATGGGCAGGAGGAACACGCGAAGCAACGTCGTGGCGAAGGCGCAGCCTGCAATGATGCCCTGGGAGATGCGAAACGAGTCCTGGGAGATGAAGACCCCCACCTGCAGGACCCTCCTCCTCCTCCTCCTCCTCCTCCTCCTCCTCCTCCTCCCTGTCCTGCTCCTCCTCCCTGTCCTGCATGCCTCGGGCGCTGCTTCTTGCGGGGGGCGGCGATCAAGGGAGGGAGGGGGGCGAGAAGCGTACGCCTGGCGTGCCCCAAGTGGGTCCCAGGGGGTCCCCTTTAGGGCCCCTGCGGGGCACGAAAGGTGCACCTTTAGGTCGGGCATCTCCCCCTACAGGAGGGTTTTGGACGAACAACCAGAAATAGTCAAAAAGTACACCAAACTGTTAGAAAAAAACTAGGAAAATCATCCCCAGACTATGTTTTACTGTTTTTGAATACTCCTCCTGTAGAGGGACAGGCCCGACTTAAGTGAACCTTGCTCGGCGGCTCTGAAGGTTGTGGTTTGCAAAGGGTTTGGTTTGCAGCCGGCGCCCTGGGGGCACCCTGGGGGGCGGGCGGGGACCTCGACGGAGCTCTCCGCCGCGCCCCGAGGAGGCCCAACGAGGGCAGTGTCGTGCTCCCCGGGCCCCAACGGTGCCGATCGCAAGCCACACCCCGGCGTAACCATACCCTTTGTAATCGCCGACTTTCTTCCCGACGCAGATCGCCCAGGCGGAAGGCTACCCTAGGCCCTACCCGAGGGCCTAGGGCAGGGCAAGGGTAGGCCCTACCCGAGGGCCTGGGGCAGGGCAAGGGCAGGGCCGACCCAACGGCCCAACCAGGGGCAAGGCTCAGGGCAGCCCTAGAGGTAGCCCTGGGGCAACGCCTAGGGTAGCCCTCAGGATGGGCCCCAGGGTAGGTCTAGAGTAGGCCCTACAGGCAAACCTGGGTTTGGCCCGATGGATCGGCCTAGAAGTAGGCCTAGGGATAGGCCTACAGGAGGTTTATGGGTAGGCCCTGGGGAAAGCCTACGATAGGCCTAGGGGTAGGCCCTAGAGGTAGGCCTAGGGTAGGCCTATGGGGTAGGCCTTAGGGTCGCCCTAGGGTAGGCCTATGGGGTAGGACCTAGGGTAGGCCTAGGGTAGGCCTTGGGGTAGACCTAGTGGCAGGCCCTGCCCTAGGCTTGCCGAGGGGTAGGCCCTATGCCCACCCTAGGCCTACCCTAGGCCTACCCTAGGTACTACCCCTAGGCCTACTCTAGGCCTACCCTAGGGCCTACCCTAGGGCCTACCCTCGCAAGTCCGACCGTGCGCGTGCAAGCAACCATCCGCGAATGCCCCTCGCGAGACTTCACGCCGCACGATGCGCGCAGTCCGCGCAAAACGTCGATGCCAACGGCACGGTTCCCCCGCTGCCCCTCGGAACGCCCCCACCCCCCCTCCCTCAGTCATGTCCTGCGGCGCGTCCCAACAGAGCTTTCGAGGCGGGCCCGCAAGTGGCGACGAGGGACCCCCGGGAGGCACACGCAATACCCGAATCGTGACAACCCATTCTTCCTCGCACTCCCCCTCCTCCTCCTCCGCCTCCTCCTCCTACTCCTCCTCCTCCTCCTCCTCCTCCTGCTTCTCCTCCTCCATCCCTTTTCAAAACAAGCAATTCCTCCCTGTCGCGCACCCAGAGCTGTAGCGGGGCAGGAGTTTGGCATGGGACTTCCTCACCATGTATGATCTCGAATTTCAAATGTGCGACAGCTTCAAACATGGTCGTTTCCAAAATGAAGCTCTCGCCTTCACGTCGAACACATTCGTGTTTGCGAGCTTTTGCCAACCTGGAGTCGGTTTCAAAATAGAATCGTCTTCAAAATGGAGTCGTTTTCAAGAATGGAGGGACGGAGTCGTTTTCAAAATGGAGCTCTCGCCTCAGCGCGGCGCGCATTCACTTAAGGACTAACCAAATACAATGATAGAGGGGGTCCTTCCAAAAATGGGGCTCTCGCGTTGGCGACGCGCACGGTCTTCCCTTGAGGCTTGCACCAGTTGCAAGGATAGCAGGCAGCTCCTTTTCAAAGTGGGGCTTTCGCTGGAGACTCGCTTGAATTCAAGAATAAACAGCTCGGACAGATGCAGCAGTGGCGCAGACGACGAGCGGTTCCTTGTCATCATGGGCGTTTGCTCGAGACATCTTCAAATCTGCAAGCCGGCAGCTTGAGTCTATGTTGGAGCTGGGTCCCTTCGAGATCAAAAGTGACAACTTGTGCGAAGGGTTACGCACATGGGAACGGTTCGTTCTTTAAACACGGGGATCTCGCTGGACACCTCGTCGGACTGTATGATCATAGCATTGCGCATTCCTCACTACTCGCTGGAAGGATGGAAAGGTGCAAGGCAACCAATTCCTTTTCAAGACGGTGCACTCACTTGAATGGCAAACCCATCGTGTGCCGGTCTTTATAGGAACCGTGTACCGAGGCGGAAAGGAAGGTTTGTGCGGACTTCTGCGGAGACTTGGGACACGAGGGTGTATTGCATTGCAGCATGGTCGATACGTGCGAGGTTTGCTCTGGTCCCCCTCCTCATCCTCGTCCTCCTCACCTCATCTCCAGCCCCCAAGCTTCGTTTCTTTCACGACGTGGACCCCCAGAGGTCTCGACCCCTTCCTCGGAACACAATCATCGCCCCATGCCTTTCCGTTGACACTCCCAGAGCCCGAGGAGGCCCCCGAGAGGCCGAACGCCACAACAGAACTCCCGTCATGATCCTTCAACGACGCGCGGGGGCCTGGGTCGCCCGTCGCCCCTTCCTCCCATCACAGCGCGGCAGGAGGGGGTCTCTGGATCACCGGTCGCCCCCTTCCTCCCATCATAACGCGGCAGGGGGCGACGGCGACGCCGCCGAAGCGCGCGTCCCGCTTGATACGCTTGGCCGTTTCCTGGGCGCGCGTGCGCTCGCGCTCTTGGGGGCGGCGAGGAGTCTCCGGCACAGGGCCACGATGCCAGGATCGTGGGACCCTGTGGCCCTGGCCAGGCATGATGGTGGTCAGAGAGGGAGGGTAGAGGAAAGAACGTAAGTATTAGGCAGGAAAAAGGGAGAAGCAGAGGGAGGGGAAACAGGAGCGAGGAAGAGGATGAGGAGGGAAGAGGACGAAGGAGCAAGGATGGGGGAGCCTGTGTAATGAGGATCCACTTTCTGTCTTGGATTCACTTTTCTTCCGGATCCAGAAAATGGACCCTGTGGACATCTGGGTTCTCTGCTCAGGAGGAGCTCCCTCTAGAGGTGAGCGAGTCCTCAGACATTCGCAGGATGGGTTTCAAGGGGACCTCAAACGGCACGAGGAGCTCGTCAACAGGGTGGACAGAAGGGGCTCGGGTGCGGACGGGGAAGGGGGAGGGATGGCAGGTCGCGGCCCACCGAAGAACTAACCTTTAGAGGCTCACCACCGAAAAACTCACCCCAAGACGGGAGCAGCGGAACGGCGCCAGCCAAAAGAAATCAGGACCACGAGGCAACAGCAATGGACCGACGATTTTCGGTCCTGACAGATGATCCGGGTGCCGCCGAGAGCGGCGGCTTCCTTTGCTGAAGTCCAGAGGCGGGCTGGCTGGGCGACGGGCACAGCGGTTGGCCCCGCTCTGAACTCACAATCCCCAATACCGGGAAAAGGAGGCAGAAAAGTACGAAGACGAAAGAAGGGAGGGAGGGAACAGGGAGAACTTGAGACGGAGAACACATGCATAACACGTTATACAGACGGCGCTTCTGCTGCTCCCCGCCCCCCCCCGATGTCCAAGGTAAAGGTCGGGGGGGGGGAAGGGGTGAGAGGTGGAGGCCCGAAAAATTCATTGTATCTTATACAACACACATTTAGAGGCTCACCACCGAAAAACTCACCCCAAGACGGGAGCAGCGGAACGGCGCCAGCCAAAAGAAATCAGGACCACGAGGCAACAGCAATGGACCGACGATTTTCGGTCCTGACAGATGATCCGGGTGCCGCCGAGAGCGGCGGCTTCCTTTGCTGAAGTCCAGAGGCGGGCTGGCTGGGCGACGGGCACAGCGGTTGGCCCCGCTCTGAACTCACAATCCCCAACCCACCGCTGATACGCACAGCGCCTGGCTGATGTGGCCCAGGGCTCTGGGTAGGCGGGGTTGCCACGTCAGCCGAAATCATTCTGCCTCCGACCAACCAAAAAATCGATTGAATCAAAGCATTCACTCTCGCGCCATCTTTGGGCGCGGCCGCTGCCTGGCCAGGAGCTCACGGCCACGCGCCATCACGGCGGCGGGCACGGCCGCTCTCGGCTACCAGGGCGTGCGTCTTCATGTAGCGCAGCACCGACTTCTCAGACGCCCAGCGGCCGCGCCGCTGGATGGCCCACACCGTCCGGTAGCCCTCCGCCGCGTCGTGGCTGGGGCCCGAGTGCCTCGCTGAGTGGGCCGGGAAGGCGGTGATGCCGATGTCGTCGCTGGCCTTCCGCAGGGCACGACGGTAGGCCTCCACCGAGCAGCCGAAGACCAGCTCGCCCGGCTTCTTTGCCGCCTTGCGCGCCCGCAGCATGTCGGCGACGTGCGGGCGGTCGATCAGCACGCCCTGCCTCACTCCCGTCTTGGTGCGCTCGTTCCGCTCCTGCACGCCCAGCTTGATGGCCACCACGTCATCGTCGGCGTCGACGATGTCCTCGACTCGCAGCGCGAAGACCTCCGCCGAGCGGAGGTAGGCGTCGACCGCCAGCGCTGCTGCATCTGCTGCCTCCACGGACCCGGCCAGCCTCATGGCCTCGTCCAGGGCAGCCCACACCTCGAGTGGCTGAGGCCCACCCTCGCCGGCCACGTGCATCTTGTGCCACGCCCGCAGGGCCCGATTGGCTCGCGGGAGGCCCGTAGACAGCTCAGGCCAAACGAACGCCATGCCGTGCACCACGTAGTCGCCCCTGTGCGGTCCCACCTCCTCGTCCTCGACCAGGTAGTCTAGGTAGACCAGGATGGAATTGTCGATCTCCTCCCTGCTCATCATGGGCAGGTCGAGGTCCAGCGCGAACTCCAGGAAGCGCCGCACGTTGGGCACGTAGCAGTTGAGGGCCGTCTTCTTGCCCACCGAGTAGGGCAGAAGCGAGAGCCCAGCCTCCGAGGTCTGCATGAGGCCTGATGATCCAGCTCTCTGACTCTCATTTCGTCGATTGGTAGCGTGCATCCGCCGATCCTGGGAATGGTGACGCAGACGACCGTCGGCGAGCGGCATCCCATGGCAAGCCTGAGGGAAGAAGCAGCAGGCCATGACGCCGAGGCCGGTCCTGGAGGTGATCACCCTGAGGCCTCCAGGAAAGAGGCAGGCAGCACGTCGATGTCCCGTATGTTGCGCCGCCTCCGCTCGAGCGTCTCCTTGATCAGCAGCTCCACGGCCCTCTCTGTGAACTCCGCCTCGCGCCGCTCGCGCCCGTCCAGCATCGCGCCCAGGTGGCACTCGGCCAGCGCGCGGCAGAGGTCGGACGAGTAAGCCTGAGCTACCCGCGTCCTGAAACGCCCCGTCTCGTCCTTCCCGCACAAGCTCGCCGTGTGGTTCTTGTGAATACATGGGCGAATGAGCCGCTGCAGGTCCTTGGCTGTCCCTGAGATAGTGGTCAACTTGAGCGCGGGGCAGCCCCACATGCACTGAGGAGAGGTCACCCTGTAGGCACCGAGAACCTCCTCCCACTCCAGCACCTCGGTCGTTGCAAAGATCGAGGGGAACGGAGGCTTCCCCGGGTCGGCAGGATGCTCCAGCGAGACTGAGCCACCTCGTAGGGCGATCGCCCTGAGCACGCGCAGGCTGCTCAACAGCTGCGCCGAGCCCATCTCCACCTTCCTCAGGTCGGCGCCATGAAGACCGGGGCGGCCCCACGGGTGTGAGCGGAGGCGCACAGGAGGGGGCCCTCCTGGCTGGAAGCGCACCCTCGACCACGTAGCGCACGAGGGTCCAGCATGGCCTCCATCCACCTCCAGCTCGGCGAGCAGCTCCAGCCTTCGCACGTTCACCTCCTCGGACAGGTCGAACTCCGGCCCGAACCCGATGTCCACGTTCGTGCACTGCACCACGTACCCCCGACTGGCCGCGAGACGAGCGAGCCAGAACTCCAAGTCGCCCGACCGCGTGTGGCCGCTGCAGAGGTGAAAGAAGCGCAGCACCTTCGCCCTCACGGTCCGACCCAGCCGCAGCGGCGCGAAGGGATCCTCCTCCGCGATGTCCGCCAACTCCTCGATCACCTGACCCGTGTCGGCGGGCAGCACGGTCTCGCCCTGCAGTCGCTCCTTCGGTGCCTGCCCGATCGGGAAGCCTCGGCTGGGGCCGTCGCCGTGGTTGCGGTCGGACGGCACCCAACGCCAGTACTCCCTCATGCCGCAACCCAAGTCGATCGCGGCCATCCGGCGGCACAAGATGAGGATCGGCTTGCTGGCCGACCTGCCCTTGCTGAAACCGCCCAGACACACCATGGAGTCGGTGATGCGAAGATGGCGGCGGCCCCAGCTCGCACGCGACCGAGCGGAGTGCCTCACCGCAGCCAGGCCCGTCCTCATCTCCAGCAGGTTGATGTGCTCCTTCTCGTCCCAGCGCCAGCGGACCACCTCCTTCCACCTCGACATGTCGTCCCAGCAAGCGTGCACCGGTGGTGCCCTCACGCGCATCCCGAGCTCGACTCCCTCGGCGATTCGCCGATGCGCCTCGCCTTCTGCCCGAGAGTCCGCCGCCCAGGAAGACGAGATGCCAGTCCAGACGGTCCACCCTCCTCTGACAGCAAAGCGGGCCTCTCGACGCATCTCCTGGATGTCGGCCTGGGCCGAGATGATGGCCCCGCCGTAGAGGCTCGCGTCGAACATCGTCACCGTGGGGTCCCAGGGCATGGCCAGGTCGACAGACACCAGCGGCACCACAGCCGCTGCCACAGCCAGCTCGCGGAGGACCTCGTCGGGCAGCCGACGGCGGGGGCCCCCTCGGAACTCCATGCACCAGTGATAGACCTCCGAGAAGACGCTCAGGGCCCCTCGAGTGATCAAGAAGCCCCAGGACAGGATACCCACGATCTTGGCCACAGCGTCCGGGAACTCCGACCTCTGCTTGAGGATCTCGCTCACCCCGGCCACGGCCAGCCACATCTTGTCCTGGTTCGGGGCTAGGCGTGTGCCCACGAAGTCTCCACCGATCATCCGGGCCTGTCCCGAGCAGTCGTCCTTGTGCACATTGAAACCCGCGGCGTTCACCAAGTACTTGGCTCCCAACCAGATGTCCCTGATCCGCGTGGGCGGCTCGGCGTCGGCAATGGGAGGGTAGTCCACCCCGATGATGCCGAAGTCGTCGATGTACTCGTAGTGCGCCGCAGGCACCTCCCGACTGATCAGGGGCAGCGGGCCACCTTCGGCCAGACGCTGCTCCTCGGCAAGGGCGGGCATCCCCATGGAGGGACCAGAGTTGAACAGGTCCTCCATAGTCGTCTGGGCCATCCAGCAGGCCCAAGAGAAACCCATCAGCGCCACACGCACACCAACGTGCTCGCCTGACCCGCTCAGGCGGGCGTCCGAGGGGAGAACGTCGAGAAGCTCCGAAGCTCGGACTCCAGGCAGCACGAAGTAGGGCGCGATCGCCTCGCCCAAGTCCAGCGTGTAGTAGAAGTCGGGGAGGTCGCCAGTACCAAAAACCATTCGAGCGCCCTCCTCCGTCATCTCCTCGGACACGTCCAAAAACGACATGGCACTGACCCCGCCCATGGCACACCACGGCGGCGCCCGCCAGCGTAGGTTGGACCGCCGCTGGTCGAAAACCAAACGCAATGACACCAAGGGCTCGCCGTCCACGACCTCGGCCTTCTTCACCACACAGAACAGCCCGACCTCGTCCACCTTCGATTCGCAGCGGCACAGCATCCCAGCCAGCGCCATGCGCTTGGCCAGCATCAGCATGTC